TGGAGTAGTGTTGGAGTTAGTAAGTCAGGAGTTTCTCTGAATGAGTTTCTTCAATGAACTCCCAGTTTTCCCATTTTACTTTCCATATCCCCCGCACACTTGTGACTGAAATAGAAGGAAGGTTATTTGGACACACATGTATCTGGCTTTCAACATCAGTTTTGCTTGGGTGACATTTAAAAATGGGTTGTACTGGCTCATATAATTTCTCCTTGGGGCCTGCTCTGTTCCAGCAGTTCTGGTATGTGTATAAACATGAATTTGTATCCTTTGATAACTTCCTGAATTAGAACAGCGCTTGTGGGTCGTCACAGCAGAAAGAGCAGCAGGGAAATACTTCGGGCCAGCAGGCACATACATGCCATGTATTGACTACTAAAGTAGGTGCTTGTGTGTCACAAGTAAATGTTTTCAGTAATGTCCCTTTGCTTGCTGTAGTCACTCTCTTGTTTTCTGCTGTGCCTTAGAAAATGCTTCATCTGCTGCATTCTCTTTTGACAGCTCTAATAAGTTGAAGGGAGAAAAAGTAAGCAGGAAAAACAGTTAGGCCAAAAGGGTTATCAGGCACCCAAATGGGGAAGTGGTTGAGTGACCATCTGTGAGTGTATTTAAAAGACATGTAGATATGGCAATTATGGATGTGGTTTAGTGGTGGGCTTGGCAGTGCTGGGTTAATGACTGGACTTGATCTTAGAGGCCTTTTCCAACCTAAGTCATTCTTTTTCTTAACTGCCTCTGAGCTGGGATTCAGGTAAGCCATAAAAGACCTGCTTTACTTTCCTTCTTTTACTTGACTTCTTGTGGCTTCAGGAAGAAGACAGTTCTCCAACTCTTCCTGCTTTGTTGTCTCTAAGTGGCTGGCTCTCCACCAAGGTTACCTGGCAACTTCTCTGTTTATTCCTACAAAAAATAATGAGATCCCTCTGCAATATTGCAGCTAATGTGCCTGAAATTCCATTTCTCTTGGAGGTATTTAGAATTGATGAAATCTCTGTATGATATAGTTCTAGAAAGAATTCAGAGTTTCCATATTTTGTATCTGTCTCTTCTGCTCTAGAATTCACCATACTACTTACCAATAAGTAATACACTGTGAATTTTTTCTCAAGACCTATATTAAAATAGTCACAGAAAAAGTAAATCAGTCCAAAAGTGCACATTTTATGAATAATTACGGGCAACTGTAATTATCAGCTACTAAGGCAAGATTTCAAAACTAATATAATCATCATTGCTACTTTTTACCGTTTTCTCCAGCAAATGCATAGACAAACTTAAAGATCTCCACTCTTCCCAAGAAATATTTCTGTTTGAAAGGAATGATATAGGTGAAGGAGGAGGTTCCAAAACAGTGCTGAGTTTTAAAACTGAGAGAGACTGTTAACATTTCAACAGTCTAACTCCTTCATATGTAGCTTTTTTTTTGTCATTTATAAATTACTAGCTTTGTTTACTAGCACTATGATAAAATTCCTAGACTAGTGTGGCTCTGTTTTATTTAATTAAAGTAGTCTCTCTACTTTCTTATCTACGTCTTAATGTTAACACAAGACAACTCAATCAGGGATGTGTTGTGCTTCAATTGTTCGTCATTAAGGGAGTGGGATAGTATCTAAATTTGTTTCCCTTCATTGCTTTGACCTCATCTTGTGAAGACTCACTGGAAGATGATGTCTATATTCACCTTTCTGTTGTCCCTTAAATTTAAGAAATTGAATTGAAGATGGACTACTTTGATTAAATTCCCACATCAATGTAGAAGATTTTGAAGAGCATCTGGTTTTAGAGTGCATTAGGGAATAAAAGTATAATGGGACAAGCTGAGCCTGTGTAATTATACAACACAAAAATTGCCTGTAGAATTGTCTTATCTTGGTTACCCATTGTAAAAGTTGCCACAAACCCTGATCTTTCAAAGGCAATGACTCCTCTAGAGTGTCCTTGTCCATCTTTGTGGAGGCTGAAAGCCTCCAGAGAAAGAGCCTGCCTCTCTCCCATGGAGAGAATGCCCTTATGCACTCCCTTCTCATAATGGTTATCATGTTTCCCCTAGCATTCCTGTTTCACGTAAAATGTTTGCAGCCTGTTGGTCCTTCCCCCTTCCCCCCTGCCCCTGTGCCCTCAGATGATTCATTAATTGTTCTATCCCGACCCCTGGCTCTCCTATATCAACCCCTCTCCCTCCGTCCCTTGGAGCCGTTTCGTCCCTGGACCCTTCGAGAAGGAATAAACTCCGCCTTGGATCACCACATGTGGCTCCCGTCCCTGTCTCCACCGTCGGCAGAAGCGGGGCTCACACAAGACAGCTGAGATCCCTCTCCTCCCGAGAGCAGGAACGTGTCTGTGACCAGCAGGACGCTTCCCTAAGGACGCTGCTCTGGAATGTCGCGGCACCAGCGCTCCCCGCGCCCACGGCTCCTTCCCGCCGGTGCCGCTCCGCCGGGATACACCTTAGTGATGGCTCCTGCTAGGATACAACCCTTGCACCCTGAAATATTTCGGATCTTGCTATAAGATAAGCAACTGGCTAAATATTCATTTATCCAGGCATGCATTCTAGTTTGTAATAGTTGTTACATTAGCACAACAAATAAATGGACAACATATGACCATGGGTTGCATATATGAAGATATATTGATATCCATTAAGAAATATTGTATTTATTTGTGAATTGCCCTTCAGGAAACTGTTGTTTATTTCTTTTATCCACATTTACATAAGCCTTGCCATAATAAAGTGCTGTGATCTATATAGCAAATATATTTCACTGCCTGCAGAGGAAAAAGTATAAATTAAGTGAAAATACCATTTCCCTTGAAGTTTTCTTTTATACAGGATTTCAAATACAGAGCCTAGTAGAATGAATTCACACTGGATGAACACTACAGTGTTGCTTGTTCAAACAATACTAAGCATGATAAAACACAATTTAGCATCATCCAAACACAGAGTAAAGATTCCCTTGCTTCTTAAATCTGGAATACTTATCATTTAATAAATAAAAATTGATTAACCTACTCTGTCGCTTGTTTTTTCTGAAAACATTGGGGTCTGTTTTGACAGAAAATAGGTGACTGTGAGAGTCTGGAGGTGTAGCTGTGAAGGGACCTCAGTCCCAGCTCAGGTGTGGAGTGTGACTGACAGGGGGCTCCTGGAGGTACAGAAAAGGACATTTCATTAACAAAATATCCTGTCTTTTTAATAGATTGAGTTAATGTATTGAATCATGACTCATTCTGAAATGAACAGATGCCTTTTAGTTACTAACCTCAGAGGGGCAAGGTTTCTGCTGTTTCTGCTGTTGCCAAGTAGTGAGAATCTAGACAGTGTAGTTCATCCATTCAATAAAGATTTTGTCTGGAAAGGTGGGTGAAGAAATTAAATGGAAAAACAGAGTAGGAAGAGAAAGAGAGACAGAGAGAGATAGAGATGGAGGAAAATGCAACCTGCAGAACCTATAAACACAGAGTTCTCTTGTGCCTCGCTTGTTCTTTATTTTTCTCTATCAATTGCAGAGTACATTCCTGTTGCAAGAATGCCCTTCTGGAGTCACTCTAGAAATGTTTATCTAGAAAAGCTTATCTTTCAGCTAAAAGCTTATCTTCCAGGCTAAAAGATAAGTACTGACAAAAATACAGTTTAGTGAATAGAAAGTATGTGTTACAGCAATATGTTACAGCAAATGCATATTGCAATACAAAAAGAATGATCTTAAATAAAACCATGAAATTGATGTTTGCGTCCCAACTTTTGTGAATTTTAAATGACACAAAGATATGTATGAATAATACCCTTTGTTCTTAGAATAATGTAATATCCTGAGTTGAAGGGACTCACAAGGGTCAGCTAGTCTGACTCCTGGCCCTGCTCCAGACACCTCAAAAATCCCAACATGTGCCTGGGGGCATTGTCCAAATGCTTCTTGAACTCTGTCAGGCTGGTGCTGTGACCACTGCCCTGGGGAGCTGTTCCAGTGCCCAAGCACCTTCTGGGTGAAGAACCTTTTCCTGATATCCAACCTAAACCTCCCTTGGCACAACTTCAGGCCATTCCCTCAGGTCCTGTCACTGTCCCTACAGAGCAGAGATCAGGGTCTACCTCTCCTCTTCCCCTTATGAGGAAGTTGTTGCTTAAGATTGCCAGTATTTTTGTGCTTTTTTTGAACACTGGTTCTGATAGTGTTACTGCTCCTTACTCCAGTTTAGTGGGGAAGATTTCAAGTACATTCTGTATAGGAACCTTAACACATAGGTGTATAGGAAAGGAAAGTAGTGCATTTTCATTCAGACAGCACATTTTCTATTTAATAGAAAGATGTCAAATTGTAATACCTAATAATACTAATAATCTACTTTCTGATCAAAATGTTTTGTCACAATTTCTTTGTGCTCTTGAATCTTAATGCTTACAGCTTTTCTCTTTTTTGAAAGCTACAGGCATCAAACTGACAATTCAAGCTAGAATGCTAATTTTGTTTCAATATTATTTTAATAAAAATTACAGTAAGTAGATATAAACAAGCAGCATAATTGTCTGCACTGTGTTTCTTACTTTAAAGGGGCCGTTGTACAGTCAAATGGATGATGGATTTAAAAAAGGAGCAGCTTAAAACATAATTTTAAACTCCCATAGAACTGAAGTCTGTATAGAATTTAGGGGTTACCTATATGCAAGGCATAAGTAATAATGTTTGTGTAAGTCTCTTAATATTTCCCATTTGTAAAAGTACAAGCAGTCTTAGAAACATGTGACTATTGTCCCCTCTGTCTGTACAGATGTGCTCACATTCACTGTGACTGTAGGACACAGCAAGGATCAGGCTGTAAGGTCTGGTGTACTGGGCTGCCACAAAGTCTCCCAGTAAGCATTAAAAAAATGCTGACCTATTTACCACGGTGGCAAGAGCAAACATCCTGTGTGAAATTCTACTGTTATCAGTGTTGATAATAAGACTCCCACTGACTCAAATAGGGCTGGATTTCATTTCTCCTAGGCTTAATTTTCAGTTAGTCTGCCTGATGAACTGTTGGCTCGTAATTAAGACCTTAAGGGGGAGGGGGTTATGGAAAGAGTTAAAGCAGCTATTTCTGTTTGTCTCTGTAAAGTTTTATAGGACTGTGATTCTTCATAATTATAAACTCTTCTGAATCTTTCCTGGGAAGATGGGAAGCAAGGCAGAAATGTGGGTGAGAGACTAGACATTGGGTTTGCCTTTGTTCCTTTACTGTTTACTTTAACATTTTTCTCTTAGACTACTTAGGGGGTGGTGGGTCACGGTTCTGCACGTAGCTTTTTTGAAAATCTGGGTTCTAAAGGATGAACTTGCTGCAGATTTTGTGTCTCATGTAGGAAAAAATTATTTCTTCTGGTATCCTTGAAACGTACAACACAAGAAATCATATACCACTTCTGAATCATTTGAAAATGTATTTTCTTATTATCAAAAAATAGTGGCATCTTCAATTGGCCGTTTTTTAAGTTACTGCTTAGGTGTTTTTTCTCTGAATAGCAGTACAAGCTGCGATTTCATGCCAATCAACATTGTCTTCCTCAGAAAGCAGCAGCAGAAAAGGAGACTGCAGTTTAACATTTGTTCAGTGTCTCTTCCATGCCTCTGCAAATTCTTCCTTCTTCCTTTCCTTTTCATGAAATTCTTCTTGGTTCTTTGGGGATCTTAGAAGGAAGCTGTACATGAGCCCAACACAGGGAGAAGATAACTTATGGGAGAGAAGGTTGTTTTCTCTGAGAGTGAAACCTGTTGCTGGGTAAGCTCAGGAGAATTCCTGTAAACAAGAAAGAGAAAGCTCATCCATAGGCAACCTGAAACGTGCAGGAAAGAGAGGTTGGATTTCTTGTCTGAGTAGATAAATAACATGATAACTTTAGTGGGGTTTTGGTTAGTCCTTAGTTGGTATTTAGCTCATTTAACAGGACTGGGAAAGTCTCACAGCAACAATTGTAACTAAATTCTAGACATATCTCTGTAGTAACTGTAAATACTGATTTCAAAGGGTGTGCAACCAAAAAATTTGTCATTGTTCATGTAATTTTATGAAATCTCTTTGCCATAATGTGCTGCACCAAGTAAATAAAATACTCATCCCAGAAACCAGAACATTCTTCAAACATTTCCCACCTTGCATTTTTTGTTAAGTACTCACCACTTGTGAAAATAACACAGTTTAAAAAAAAAGCTTTTTCTTCATCTAAACATCTAATCTATACAATTTTTTTTGAATGACAACAGGAGTTTTCTGGTTTGGTTTGGTTTGATTTTTTTTCCCTGAAGGAAGAATCTGTCAATTGTAATGTTATTTTCTAACTGTTTTTGCTGATAAACATTAATTTATTCCTCCTCTCCTTATTTTTGCAAACCGGCCAGAGATTAAACAGATATACAGGAGATGGCAGAAGCTGCACACAAAATTTGGATGGTGTGCTTGGCATCCTCTAAAACACTTGGTGGAGCAGATGAGAGTTTAAAGAGAGTGCTCTAATTAGTATTGGTCAGAGACAGATTCAGAAGCAGTTTGAAAACTGGAAATAGAGGAAATCATTAGGAAACTTGGGTTCAAGAAATGGAACTCTAAGAAAATGAGTTGCCATCATTGAGATCACCTTTGAGATCAACTTAGAGTGATATTTTGTTCCCTTCCTGCATATTTCTGAATTGAGACTGTTGTTTTCACTTGAAAACTTCACATAATATATCTCAGAATTTACCAATATTAAGCACTATGGGCATTGTTTCAAATAGCTCTAGGGGTGTTTTAAAAACACAGACAAAGTACCTGATAGCAGAGTGGACATTTAGGACAAAGAAAGACATGGGATTTTTTTGGCAAATAGTGAACCAGAATCCATATATAAACAAAGAAAACATCCAAGTATATGTAGGAGATGGGAAGAAGTTTGTACAAGGAGGGAAGTGGGAAGCTCCTGCAAAGTCCATGGTGATGTTCTAAGCAGATAAGGAATGGCAATTAACAATAATATGGTCACATCCAAATCAAAAGTATTATGCCAAAGGGGTCCAGTGAAATGAAGCAGACCCATGGTCATAGCCAAAAAAAGACTTTTAAAGTAATCTAAATATTTGCAGCTTTATTGCAAGTTGAAACACAAATGTTTCTGTAAAAAGGTTATATACTACCAACACTCTTAGCTGTCCTCCAAGGCTCTTGGCAGTGAAGCTCAGCATTGCATGTGAAAAACAGATTTCTTGAACACCATGTCTAGCACAGTTTTATTCAGAAAAAACATTTGCTTCCTTTCCTTCCTTCTTTCATTATATTAGAAAATAAGGAACATTTTCCCCCATTATTTTTCTATTATGCATATTCCTGTTTCATAAGGAAACCAAATTGTCTGTGGATGGCTTTGGTGTGTGCTTCACTTTGTCATCAGTTATTGAATCAGTAACTAGCAAATATATTTTATCTGAAAAGTCCTAGATTCTTTCAAGTAATGTTCCAGTAATAACTTCTGTAAACTAACCAGCTAACTGTGTTACTGTTTCACAGAACAGTGGGTCATCGTTAAAATCACCCTTTGAAGCTCCTGTTGAATTATGTTGGGTCAAATTGGTTTCAAAGGCCATACTATTTTGTATGACTTATTTTCTCCCTTGAAGTTTGTTTTTTACCCTGAAGATCTTAAAGAGAAGCACCTTCATTTCTGATCTGAGATCTATGCTACTTTCTAACTTTGTCTGTTATCTTCTCTTTTGTGCTGTAAATTGTTATGGAAGTAAAAAAAAAGAAGAAAAAAATAAAAAGAAACTAATCTCTTGATAGATTTAACTGGAAAGTTCAGTGGATAGTTAATGGAAAGAAATCACCTGGTTTGACATATAAGATATCTATATTGTGTGAAATGACTTTGATGTGTTTGGTTTTTTTAACTGAAAGCTGTTTAAGAGCTAATGTTAGGATTCCTACAAAATACTTATGAGAATGGATGTCTGGATGTCAAGTATTTTGACAGGACACTTTGTGAAGCCTTTTAATGAGGGACACACAACTCCTACTGTTGTATCAAAAATACAAAAAAATTAAAGAAAATGAAAAAAGTTTACCCAGAAAAATAAAATTCCTCAAGTGTATTTGGGAGATAAACACAGGAGTGCAAAAAAACACATAAAATAAGAGTATGCCTCAGGAGCAGTTTCATGCTTATTCATGTAGTATTTTCTTCTCTGGCCATCCTCTCAGATATGGTAGAACAAAAGGCAGCACAAAGTTTATTGTATTTCAGAATGTTGATTTGTGTCACTAAAAACATTAATGCTATCATTTTTGTTGAAGTTGGTGGCTTTCCGTGACTCATTGTGTCAAAGCAGAAATAACATGGATTAATCCTTTCATCTAATCTGACAGTCAACAGCTCTTTGCTCTACCAGCCACCACAGACCTTGGCCTTGCTCATAAATCTTTTGTTCTTAAACACATATCTATTTTCCAGGCATAGTTTTCAGCAGGTATCTGCAAGGGCTCCATTATACCTGAAACTTTGTCTCTTACCTGCTTTTCCTTAAAATACCCATTCTTCTTCAGCTCTACCCCTACTTTTCAGAACACAGGGAAATTGAACACGTGTCAGGTGATAGCTCTTGTGTGAATAGTTTATATCTACTAAGTGTTAACATGCAGATTTACATTTTTGGGTAGCTGCCTCAGTTTTCATCACAGTCTTTACTTCATTGTGTTACTTGTTCCAACTACCTTTCCTGTTATTGCTCTGTTTTCTGGCTTCTCCAGTTGCTTTGTTCATCAGCTCAAATTCAAATAATGCTACTTATGAGATATCACTCCTTATTTGATTAAACACCATGTAATCAAAACCACAGACCTTGGATAAAATTAATTGTATTGATGATTGACTCCATTATTTTCTCAAAATTTAGCAGGAAAGAAATAATTTTCATGAAGTGAGTCATTTAAGTCAGGAAACCAGTTCGTGATAAATAGATAGTGAGAAAGCAGTATCTGCAAGAAATAAGAAATTTGTTTTATGCCACATGGGGAATTTAAACAATGACTCAGATCTAGAGGAGAGGTGGGGCTCTGAATGCCCACTTGGGCATGGGTGGGTCTAAATCTGCTGCTAGGGAAATGTGGTTGTACAGAATAAAATACCTCACTTTCTGTTAGAAATGTCTCAGATTAAAAATATCAGAAAGAAAAATGATTTTTTGATTAACCTTTATCATGTTTCTTCTGATAATGCATTTCTGACATCTCCAACTTTCTTTGAAATGTTGTATGATGTTTTATATTCTCTCCTGAAATGTACTCTGTGAACATTTGTTACAAACTCCTTTGTTACTATGGAAGCTGAAGGCTGTAGAAACCTATTCTTCTTCATCTTTCCCTTCTTTTTCTCTTACCATTTCAGATGTCTTGACCTTAGAGAGGATTGCTTTTACACTTAACATTACGAATAGATTAATGCCAGCTAGGTTTTAGTAGCTAGTGAAAGATAAAGTATCCAGAAAAAGAGACATTGTTGGTTCAGATCTATCAACCTCCATTTGGATGGTGAATTCTACAATGAAACCTAAAGAATGAAATTAATCAATGTATTAGTATATATATGTCATAAAAATGTCTTATGCCTCTGCCAGCTGCTAACATCCTAAAGTCTTCTGCCTAAAACGTAACACCCCAGAACAGAGTAGGAGAAAGACTGTGGGCGTATTTTTTGACTATGAGCTGCTAATAACCAGTAGTCTTTCTGACTGCTCAGGCACATGGGAATTCTCTCAAGTACTTTCAGGTAAAATCTAGGCTGTTAGGTGTTGAAGTAACTTGGTTTCTAACACCTCTTTCACAAAGAGCTATAAAAAAATTTAATCTCCGATATTACTTGAACCCCTCCAGAAGATCTTTGGAGTTCAGGTATGATTTATCTAGTTTTAGCAGGACTTCTAATAGTAAGTGCACTGGAATCATGACCACCAAACTCATGACACTACAGCATGGAATTACTTCTGGAGAAAGAATTAATTTCTCAAGCCCTATGGTAGTGAATTGAGTTTGTGCAGCCACAAACTCAATGGGTGGTGAGTGGCTACAGGAGTGGCTTCTGTGAGATGCTGCCAAAAACTTCTTCCATGTCCAGCAGAACCAATCCTAGCTGGCTCCAAGGTGGACATGCTGAGGTCAAGGCTGGGCCAATCAGAAATTATGGTTATGCCTCAGTGATAGCATAGTTAAGAAGAGAAATAAAGTGATTGCACAGTTGTAATTGCAACCAGAGAAGGAGGGAGTGAGAATATATGAGAGGAAGAGCTCTGCAGACACCAAGGTGAGTGCAGAAGGAGGGGCAGGAGATGCTCCAGGTGCCAGGGTGCTGAGGGAGGAGGTCAAGCTAGGAAGAAGGGAGGGATGGGGGAAAGGTATTTTTAAGGTTTATTTGACTACTCTTTATTCTGCTCTGATTTTGTTAGTAATAAATCCAATTAATATCTCTAATTCTCTGTTTTGCTCATGACAGTATTTGATGAGTGACCTTTCCTGGTCCTTATGAACCCATGAACCCTTCAATGTATCTTCTCTCTCCTGTCCTGCTGCTAGATCGTTTTGCCTCTCTGATGCTAGGTACTAGAAGTGAAATAGGGATAGCCAAAAATTCAGCGTGAGTTTTTCCATGAACTTCAGAGTTGGTACAGGAAAACCAAAAATGACTAATGCAAGATTTTTTCTTTTGTGAGGACAGAAGGGCATATCTGCTGTTAATAGCTTGGATAAGATATATAAGCAGACTATAAAAGTACCAAAATAGCATGCAGGTTTAAAATCCTGACCTGCAGGTACCAAGTTTGCTTGTATTCACTAGGGTTTGAACATTCTAGTTTTTGTTTGATTTAAATAATTTCAGAAAATAATTTAGAGACATAAATAACAGTTAGGTGTCAAATTTATTAAAAATCAGTGGGAATCATTCTCCTTCTTTCTATCTGAATATTTTGAATCTTCCCTTTTTTTAGGTGTATCCATAATAGTATGGTAAGACTATGTTGAAGAACTGCATAAGGACATAAAAAATGGTAACAAAAGTAGAATTCAAGTTCCTCTTCAAATCTGAACTAACCTCAGACTTCAATTGCATGACATATGCAATATTTATTTAGTAAATATAATGTACTAATGTATTAATTAAATCCTTCCACTGTATCACTATTAATAAATACAGAATAAATTATTAGCAAAAAGAATCTCTGATAACTAATTTTTAATTACTTTATTTGACAATTTTCTGACAGAGAAAGTTCTGAGCTAATTTGCATGTGTGCTTAAATATTCAAGGAAAATCAGCAGCTAACTCGATGTACCTAGATTTTAGTATGTGAAGGCCTTCATGAAGAATCCTTTGCCTGTTGGGAAAATGACTCACTTCAACTGTTTGATTAACTAACATAAACGCAATGGGATTTTAGCTGCAGAAAGGATAATGCCAGTCACTTGGCATTGAAAGAATAAAATTCTTAGCATAAAGCTATATCCCTTCTACTCACTGTACTCTCTTGTGTGGTTTGAGCTGCTGCTTTCCTCTGCTTTTTTTAAGAACTGTGCTTTAAAATAGTCTATTTCCAGTCAGATGTAGTATTTGAAACCAGCATCAGTAAGACATTACAGATTTAAGTTTCCACATGCAAAGGGACTTTTCTTAGTATTGAGCTCATGACAACTTGTCCAAGTACATTAATGGCCATGGGTAACAAAATCAACAACACTTTTCATAAAGAACCTAATTAATGCAAAAAAATCTAACAAACTACGAGAAACCAAAGTGTCAAATTAAATAGCTTTAACATTAAATTCTTTTTTTTCTTGATTATAGTCTGCGTGAGGCACCTAAGCTCCTTCTGTGATCAAGAGAGAGAAAAGAGGATCTGAGAGATGCACAAAGTACATGACATTAATCTTCTGGAAGTGTCTTTGAGGTAATTCCACTTAGATTGGAAGTTTAACTATTAGATTGATGCAATGACTTCAAATTAATCTCATGCTACTAAACAGGCTGTGTACAGGAATTCCCATGGTGTTTCAGTGACAAGACTTAGTCTACTCAAATACAGACTAAACTTCACATGGCTGTTATAATTAGTGTAAGAGATGCTCGAAGTCAGGGCTGCCATGTCAAAGAGAGATTCAGGAGCCTCACCTGAATGCCAGGTAGGTTTGGGTGGAATAGGACTTTACCTGTGCAAAGTGAATCCAATGAGGGAGCTCTACTGAAGGTACCCACTAGCAGTGCCCAGGGACTCAAACACACGATTCAAGAGGAATGTAGGACCTTAAACTGCTGTCACAATGAAGTGGCACTTCTCTAAAACAGGGAAGGAAAGCTGGCACTTAAATCCTGCCCTAACCTGGCCTCCAGTCCCTGGGGCAACAGATGGCCACTGGGACCAGCACTTTCCACTGGAACCAGAGCTGGACTTGCTGCTGAACATGAATGAAAATTGATACTACTGATTGGAGCTCCATTGGTTTATCTTTGTGTGTCGTGTCTTTAGGTCTATGGGTATTTTAGTAATAAATAGGTTCTAATAAGAACTAAATAAGTTCTATTTCTGATAAGACTGAATTAAGTTTCTTACTGTTTTATGCTCTTCCTTGTATTTTCAGATAAAACAGAATTTAACATGAAATGTTGACCCTAGTCCAAACACCTGAACGTGTAAGAATCAGGAAATAATGCATATTAATTTGAATAATATACTTATTATTTCTTGGCAGGTCAGTAACTATGAGGTCTGTAATTAACACCTCTTCTCTTTCAGGAGCATGCGACTCTGCTGACTTCTTTCATCAAAAGGTTTGTGTGCTAGTTATTTGGCACTTGCTGTTTTGTGTCACCACAGAATAAAAAGTACTCAAAGCATTAATTCTTCCACAACTATTGGTAGAAATGAACATTAAACCTATTGCAAAGAAGTGTCCTTTATTTTTTAGGTGTGCAAAGAGCTAAAATGATGCAATTTGATGTAGTTCAAGCAGTTATTTCTCAGATTGATAGGTCTTTTTTTGAAAGAGACAACCTACTGAAATTGGTGGACTTATGAGAAAGAGGTCCTCCAGGTCTGGGATGCACAATCTTCATGTATGACACTCTTCATGTCTCCTAATATCCTTAATAAATTCAATAAAATCAACAATATTCATCCACTTCAAGTATCTGTAATTGAAAATGCAACTTTCTTTCTCCTTTCATACAAATTTTGAAACTAAAAAAGATGAATGAGTGGGTTAAAGGAGCTCTTCATAACCTAAACTTATGAAGAACTTACTCTCTTGAAAAATATTGAAAGTTTATGATTGACTTAGCCATTTAAATTGTTGTTGTCCACTCCTATCACCATACCCACAAGAGCAACAGATATCTTAGTTTAAAAAATCATCTCAGTTACATGCATAAATGACATCTTTTTTCATTTCATTCATCTCTCCTGGAAATGGCTGGTTGATACCTGCTGGCCATGCACAGAACTCTGATTTTGCTCCTTGAAGTTCCACAAGCTCTGCTGCAATTCTGCTTTATTCAGTTGTAGCCATTCTGATGAGAACTTTCTTCTTAACTGAGTATGGGGCTGCAGAGATGACCCTGTCATGCACATGGTGCAACATCACCTCGACCCATTCCCAATGGGGAGTAGTGTTGATTACTTAAAAATCGAGAGCAATTAAACATTTTTGACCTTTGATCAAGGAAGGAGCAATCATGTAATGGAATTACATGATTGACTAAGTGACCTTTTTCTGATATCAAAAATAGAATCTGGAAGATATTGTTACTTTTCCTCTTCAAAAAGAAATTGTATGAAAAGCAGAGTCCATAATAGGCCCAATGTCTACTTCTCAGTGGTCTGATTGTCATGTGTGTAGTTCTGACCAAGCTATAGAGATAAAAAGGGTAATAGCAGTCTGGGTGGTTGTCAGGCTGCATAGAAATTCTTTATACTAAGATATGTGGCCAAGTTGCAACATCATTGTTATTATAAATTATAATAATAATTATAAACAGAATTTTCATCTGCTGATCATCAATTTTTGGGTGAATGCTCCAAATAAGGCTTGCATTTTATTTTCTTGTTGCTGTAAATTTTAAACAGGAACACAATATTAATGCAGAAATGACTGTTTATATGTTTTTTTCCATATCTATAGGAAGACATATATGCTCAAAAATACCCATGCTCTTGGTTGCACCTTGGATTTATGAAATACTTAGAGCTATTATGGCTGAAGGTGGTGTAACTGACTGATATTCAGCCAGTGTAAAAGCAATGCTGATGTAACTGAGACAAAAAGCCACATATTCTGTATAGACTCCAGTAAGAACGATGTCATTGCATGGTCTTAAAGAGAAGGAAACAAAGTGTGGAAGCAGCCCAGGTTTTTCAATTCTTCTCCTAGAGGGATGATTTGGACTTGCAGGACCAAGTGCAGCCTAAGGCAGAGAAAAACCCCAAAACCTTGTTTGTTTTTTGGAGAAACAGATGCTTGCTTGATGCCAATCTGCCATGAAAATGTGGTTTTTTTCAATTCATACCCATCCTTTTTGTACCTGTTTTAAGAACAGTTGTACGGGTTTTATTTCCACTCAAACAGTACTGATGAATCCCTGTATGTTCTAGTTCTCTTCTCTGTAGTGACAAGACACTTGCACACAGCTTCAAGGACAAGCAACAGGGCAACCTCTCTTTCAGGTTGCTATAACATTATACTGAGGTCCTGGCTATGTTCTTCTCTGCTTTCCATCTTATATCCTTAACGATTTTGTGTTTGTGGGGATCCCCTGTCCAGCTTCTTCCAATTTGGTAAAAGGCAAGCAGACCTTCTGCTCTACCAAAAGCTTAATGGGAATCACTGTGATCACACAGGTCTATACAAAACCAGGCTCTGATGTGGCCCTTAGGGAAAGTGGAGTAGCACAGCTTGCCACAGCCAAACTTCCTTCCCTTATCCAAACAGCCTGGATCTGTCCAGGCTGTATAATGGAAACAATCCCTGGCTCATTGGGTTCCTCAGATTTTCCTGGGCATTGTCTGACGGTTGCTACAGCCTAAAAACAAGCCTTGCCTTGCCTGGGGGACTGCTGGGAATGAATCAATATGGATGGTAGGAGCAGTACTGAGCTGGTCCCAGACAGCTGCTATTTTTAGCAGTTTTCACATGCCTTTGAGTCTCCTGCAGGTCCTTTGCTCTCTTTTGCCTCCAGGCTGGCCCATACTATTAGGTGCTTCAATTCCTTTGTGAAAGGATATGTGCAGAGGAGACGTAGCTGTGATTTTATTATTATAAAACTCTGATTTTCTTTTTTAATTCTTCCTATTTATCTTGTAAGCCATTTAGTTTAGTCCTGTTGCTTCTTACAAACTAAGATTCATTTGTTGCCCCCAAGATATTGTGACAAATAATGAACAATCCAACTCTACTCAGCTCCTCCAAATCTCTGCTGTTTGTGATTTTCTGGATCTTTATCACAATCTTTTTTTTGCCTTCTGCCAATGAGTTTTCATCTTTTTAGTAACTCTTCAAGGTCTCTCACATCTTCAGATATTATTTTTACCCTTTTGATTTATACTGTTAATATAGATGGTCAGGATTGTACTGATTCTTTAAAATGTGTGGGAACATTCACAAACTGACAGAAAATAATGACATTTCTGTTTTGCTCTCACTTCTTAATAGCCCTGAAAATCAGCTTAACTGGTTCTAATATTTACTGAGGATTTGACCTTCCTCCACTTGACCTCTAGAATATAATCACTTTCTAATTATTTCTATTCTGTACTTTTTACATGAAATTTATGATGTTCTACCTTGATTTGTCTTTTTTTTTCTTTAGTTCTGTTGGGATCTTTAGTCATATCTTGCTCAGATGCTTCTTGCAGCTGATAGTATTTGATGTTTCAGGAAAGGTTGTTTATTGTAGTAGTTTGAGAAATAGTCACAGCATGTATTGAAGGACTCAGTAAAGAAAAAAATTCAGATTTCTCTGCCTAGATATCAAAATTCTGGGAAATAACATTTGAGGATAATTTGAAATAGTTTAATTATTTGACTTTGCCATTTTTTTAAATCCTCAAGTGGACCAATAAAATTATTTTCAAAGTGCACTGCATCTATTTTCTTGTAGTACCAGTCCATCACATATTAAAGACTGAAACCTAACATCATTAATTTTCCTTTTTTTTTAGTAACTCTCATCTCTTCCTTTTGTATTTTACTGCATTGAATTGTAACTTTTCTTCTTTCCCTATGTATGCAAATTTCAGACTTCCTGCCAAGAGCTGAAAATATTTCACAGTGGAGAGTGAAGAAAGGAATGCCTGCAGCAAATCTTTTGGGTGGTTTGCTTTGCCTCTCACATGTTCACAAAGAACTATACAATATCCAATGGAGAGAAACTACTCCTTGCATCGTATTTATTAGATATATGTTGGTAACAATTATTCTTACATCTACCTGTGTTTTCTTCATGTTTATAAACTCTGTTGATGTGCATATGTTGATGTGCCACAATTGATAATTATGAATTTGTGATTCGTTTTAATGGTTGTGGTTTAGTTCCCTAACTTCCAGCACTTCTGCAAGACCAGAATGCTGTATTCAAAACCTCCTGCAGGTACAGCTCAATAGGATATCTTGATTTGCCACTGTAATGGTTCAGATAAGAGCAGGATTGAAGGAACTAAATTGGGAAAATAGATGTTGCAGGTAAACCCAAACATTGTTAATGCTCAAACATGATCTGCCAATATCAAAACTTTGGGTTTTATTTCCAAGACTTACCTCCTGTTGGGCCAGAAGGATAAGGAAGTGGGTAGTTTTGGATATAAGTCTGGGTGATATCAAAGTTGTAAGAAACAAAATTTGTGGCTATGTCATATCAAAGATGAAGATTTACTTATTCCAAGAATGAAGTTAGACAACCTAAGCCAGGCAGGTAGGGAGCTTTTGGAGGGTCTACCTCAGGTCTCTGCTCACGTAACTGAAGCTCACGTAAATAAAGCTTTCCTAATGCCTGAGGTTTCAAAACAGATCAAGCAACCTCTGGTTTGGATTGTAATTAATAGAGGTCACTTAACCTTTCCCAGTACAAGAAGAACCTGCTGCAGTGAGAGATAATGAGTAAAGCACTCTTGTACTGACCACGCTTTTAAAGGAAGAAGAGGAACACAGAGAAAAGGAGCCCTTTCTGCTAGACTACCTCTTCAAATCAAAGAGTGTTACCACTTACTGTTCCTAAGTATTCCTCAGCAAGAGCTGTCTGCTGGGAAATGGCCCTAGCTTGCTTGGAAGCATTTGTGACTCTGAGATTGAAGTGACTTGGGATTCATTCTGGGGTTTTTGCAAGACTGAGCCCTTATTTCTCCTTCTCTTTCTGGCTAAATGCTATCTTCACTGGGTGAAGTTCAAGGTAAGAGGTTGTTTTCTCAGTATCTAAGTGGTACTGAGACCTGCACGCTATATCATCTTTAATAAAATTTTATTTTCATAGATAATGAAACTATGTAGATAAAATTATTTTGCTTGTTTCTGTTCAGAATCTTTGTACACAATAGCTGCAATCCGACTGGAATTCCTTATCTGCAGGATTAACTTTTCTGAAAACTTTTAAGACAAGCCCTAATAGACAGATTTTACTTGTATGTATGTATGTGTATGTATATATATATAAATATATATACACATACATATATATATATATATACACTATATGCATAAGTACTAATTTCCACTCTGCCTCATCCCAGTTTCCCCAAAGGGTCTTATATGACTGCTATAGCAGGATAAAAAGACATCCATATCAGACATCCATATCTGCTTCCAGTCTAGACCAGCAGAGTTCAGTAGCCAGTATATGGAGGCCTGGAATTAGCCAAGACAGGAAATTTCAAAGATAGTCTGTCTGCAACATTTATTGGCCAGTCACCTGCTGATAGAAGGTACCCATTTGATTTATAGGGCTATAAATATCTTCTCTTTCATAAAATCAAAAACATATTGTTGGTGTTTTTTTCCCCAAAATATATATCAGGAAGTCTTACTCTCTTCCCTAGTAATAAATAAATGGCCTTAAAACTATCATCCAGAAGTGAGAATTCTCTCCTTTGTCCAAAAGTATTCACATCCACGTTTTCCACTCCCCAGGTACAGCTGTTGCTGTGGTGTGAGCTTCCAGCTGCACAGGACAAGGTTTCCTCCTGAAGCTCTGCCACATCTCCCTGTAAGGACCCAGCCTCTGAGGGGAAGTGCTGTAAATGCAGAAAGAATTTGGGAACCAGAGAGCATCAGACTGTAGGCTGATTATATGTAGGGTATTTGCATTCCAGAATTTTTGCTGGAGCACAGGCTTGGCAGGCACCTGAGGAAAGGGGAGCAGCAGTGTCACACAGGGAAGTGTGCCTCTGGTTAGCCCCGTTTAAAACATCCTGCTGTCTTCTCTAGTCCAGACCAGCTCCTCTGGTGCCACTCATCCCAATGCAGTCGGAGTAGCAGTATCCTGTAGCTGTTCTGGTCTCGAAGGAGACAGTCCTGACCTTGCCAAGAGGTCCCAGAGCCCAGGAAGATGGTTTGAGTTTGTTCCTAATGGGAGCTGTGAGGAGAACAGGAAGGGGGAGCACTGGTCTTATGCCCGAGAAGAGCACAAAGGAGGAAACTGATGCACAAAAGAGGGAAGAAAACATTCTCTGTCTTTGCCTCTCCTCTAGATATAACCATAGATATAACCATAGATATAACCATAGTCTTCCACAGAAATCTCTCTCTGAAATTACACAGAATCCTCTCTTCTGCCCAGATGTTTGGATGTGCCTGGACCTTTCCTGTCTCTTGCTCAGCATCCCACATTCTCTTGCTCAGGTCTCCTCTGCCATCCTGCTTTTAAGAGTGATCTGCTGGGTCAGTTCTTCCTCTCTTCACTCAAAACTGCTCAAATCGTCTCTCTCCCAGCCCTCTCTTTGACCACCCATATACAAGTATGGTCCTTTCAGTGCCCCTCCTTCCTCCAGTTTTGCTATCCTCTCTAAACAAATTAGTAACAATTGGAGATTTAGCCATTTTCAAACTAGGAAGTCACTCTGTAGAATGTATACACAATATTTAACTTTAATCATCCTTCATATGATTTACAAAGAAATTTAAACAGTATTTAAGTTTTTGTTTTGTTTTGTAAATGCTGGCATAGTCATTATTTTTGTACTCCATTCAAAATAGCCTCCTAAAAATGTAAACTGACTAAAAAGAGGGGAAAAGTGTGATGCAAATTGAGAGATACATGCAAAGAAACACCCTCACAGATTAAAACCTTAGTGTTATATTATTCTTCTGTTGAACCAGCAATGAAACTTAAAGTCAGTTTAAACTTGAAATTGAATTTCCTCTGTAATGTAGTTACCAATGAAAAACTAGCATGCATCAGAGGGAAGAAACTACTTTTTTTCTTTTATCTCTATTTCCATGTCTCTGGCATTTTAAAAAACAGGCATATTTTTCCTACAGGACTCAGAACATTTTGATTTTTCGAGTTACCTATGGAATTCTGCCTTGTGAGATGCAAAATGAACAGGGGAAATCACAAGATGTGATAGAAGTTCCCATAGCGTCCATTCTGATTAACAGTGTGTTCCTGAAGGATCCCCAGGAGTGGAGAAAGGCCCTTGTTAAATGAGTCAACAGTTTCTGTGGAAATGGAAAATAACCACTCTCTGAAGCTTCCTTTAAAAAAAAACCCCAAAAATATTTAGGCTGATTTTATAAATTATGTTACATTTGGTACATTTTTCCAGACTGTAAACTTGATGGCTTTCTATACTAATAATGACTAGCAGTGTTGTTAGTCAAATTCTTTTAATGCATTTGGGCAGATTTATTAGCTTAGCTTGTTAAAGAGACGTGGATCACTCTAGTCCACTCGTGTACGTGACCACACTTAGCTAATCACATTTAGACATCTTGTTGTCTTTTTGCATGTAGTGCTGCTTAGTCATAATCTGAGTTATTTTTCACTTTGAATGTCTATTGATGGATAAAAACATTACTTTTAAAGAGCAAATTTATTTGCAAACTGCAATTACACAACCTAATCTGTAACACAGCTGTGAAAACATTCAGGAGTCAATTGGCCAACGAGTCTTCTTTCAAATGTCAGTGTCCTACCTGACAGTTGTGAGTCCTTTGGAAAATTCAGGTCACTGAGTACTCAAAATCAAGCTTCAAATGCAAAACAATCCGAAATCATGGATGGATTTTATATCTGACTTTTTGCAATTGTTTGAAATTCTGCAAGATATATGCTAGCGTGAATGGAAACCAATTTGTTCTTAAGCAAAAATCCCAGAACAAGTATAAATATTAAATATTTTATGTTCAATTTAAACCATATCTTTTCTATTGAAATAATTCAATAAAAATATATATAAAAAAAACTTCAGTGATTTTGTCCTTTGGAAAAAAAGTAGCTAAGCATGAAGGCTTGAACTTCGGTCTCACTTTGATGTGCCCTTTCAGCTTATAATAAATTTTTAGCTTCAATGAAATAGGACATAATTCCTGCTCCCTTCAATGGGCTGGGACATTGTCTGTGAGACAGAACTAAATCCTTTCGTTCTGCCAGATGAGAAAAGCACTGTATTTTTCTATTACGAAAGAAGATATTGTCAGAAATACCCTACTCTCTTCTTCAGAAACAGATTAATCTAGCATCCAGCACCCTTGAGAACAGCAGCCTTGTTGCTGAAATAAAAATAGTGGGCAGCTTGGATTCACCATAACTTTCAGAGCATGGTTCTCTGGAATGGCTTCACATAGTTCTGGCCAGGTGGAAATATTGGAAACAGTGGATATAATTTATAAGACTAAAACCAAAACAACCAACAAAAAACTCCAAAACAAACAAACAAACGAAAAAACAAACAAACAAACAAAAAAACCCCCCAAAAACAAAAAAAACCCCACCAAAACAACATTCAAATTTCATTTGTCTCTGCAGCCTTACTAGATGATCTCCTGATATTTTTGAGCAGTTCATATTCAGACTCCTGCCGTGTAACACACAGCATAACTCGTATTTCTGCAGCATTTATTTTAATCAGAACTTGTGGAATGAAGACCCACCCAAACGAGAAAACTGCATGAATGTTCAGCTCTTATTCACACATATTTTGCTGCAAAAAAAATTAACTGAACAAATGAACTCTGATTTGCAACTCACCTCTTACATACAGTTGAGAAAGAGAAATCAAGAAATTGTCATTAGCAAATCTCCACTGATATTGATCACCACAGGTTTGATAATGAAAGCAGTATGTTTTATCACAATCACTGCATTTAGTTCCTCTGGCAAGGTTTTGGTAGTCATACAAATGAAAATAAATGTTTATTGAGTAGTTATTGAGATGATGAGTCTTTTATTTTGAGCCATAGCCTTCACTTGGAGAGGATCTGGCATGGGAATAAGCTCTCTTATATCAATATAAATAATTGATATTGATCAAGGGACTGTGGAAATAAAATAAAAACTAATGCTTTAGAGTATTTGAAAGACTGAATTATGTCACCAGAGAATGCCAGGCCTGAAAATTAGTTATCAACTGTGAGTAAAATGACAAAATAAGTGGATCTGAATCCACATTAATAGAAGGCTAGTGGATGACAATATAATTCATACAAATCACCTAGTACTAAGCATCTCTATATTGAAAGCATGTTCTCTCAAAGAACTAAATGTTAGTGCAATGGTGCTGGTTTATTTCACTTGGGCTTATGTAAAAACACCTTAATTTCATTGCATGGCTTTTTAATGAACAGGCTAAAACAATTTGAAGCTGATAGGATATATGTTGATTAGATACTTTGCTTATTCACTCTACAGTTCTAAGGAAATAATTATGCTTTGACGGGTTCTTTGTTCTTGGCTAAAGATTAGTGAATATTTTTACCAACATCCTCAGTGTGAACTTCTCAGCTCATTGTTTCTGTATAACCAGACTCATGGCCAGGATCTTTTATTTGATATAGCATTATCAGATGCTGTCTCTTGGCATTTTTTTTACTATTAAACAATGAAAATGTATGACCTAATTTTATTAAATAATAATGAGAACACATCACACATATGTCTAGGGGGGAAATGAGCCTGAATTCCTCCACCTGCAAGAGCAAACTGCAAGAAGATCAAAGACAGGGCTTTGACCTGGCCACAAGGGATTCCCTGGCTGCCCCGTGTTGGTCCTAAACCTCCTTAATAAGCTCCTCTCTCCCTCTCCTCCTCCAGTGCTCACAGCATTTTGTGGACAAAAATTAAAATAAACATTTTTAATTTTAGGAGAGCAGCCTGTGGATGTTGTGAACTGAACTGCCACAGACAGTTTGGGACCAGTTATTTTCTTAATTGACTTGTAATACTGATCAATTAAACTTTGTGGCTGAAGGAAGCAGATCACTGTCAGACACTTTGGCTATATATGTTCTGCTAAATATAATGTGCAAAAAGCAATATAAAAAGCTGTCCTTTGGTCCTGCATGCAAATGGCACATCATTCATGGCTTGTGTCCTTAGAGCTAAACATTCTCCACCACTGTGCATGCAGCAGGGAATACACCAGCAATTGTGCAGTGTGGGTAATCACCTGCTGGTGCTTGATATCGTGTTCAGATCTATCTAATACTCTTGGCTCTGGATGTTGACTAAGCAAAGCTCACTAAGGTGATTAAAGACAGCTAAAATCCCATTTATTAGATCAGTTAAAAACATCATTGACAATCTTTGGAAACACATAGGCTGATGGATGAATAAAGAACAATCCATGACATAACTGTAAATTATGAATACTGGCTAGTCAGAAAATGGTCTTATTTCTGTCAACAGATGGTCTTGCTCTTAACAAAGCAGTCAGTCACCTATATCTGTGTTCACATGAAACAAGAAATCAGAAATGTTCAGGAAGACAACATTCTGTGTAAAATACTGACATTTTTCTGAAAAAGATGAGACTCAAAAACCCACACCCAAAAAGATGTTTATCTCTGCTTTAAGGCAGCAGATCCAGTCTTACAAGTTTTTTTTACAAGGCTAATAGAATCCATGATAACAAGCTCAATCACGACTAGGATACAGGCCAAAGCTCATGGCCTTGCTGAGGAATCCCAGAGTTCACACTTGGGGAAGTAGTTACATTGTTCAGAGATATAAAATCACTCAGTCTTAACTGAGTCCTTTTCTTTGACACAGGACCAACGCTGATAGACAAAGATACTGCAGTCAGAAGCAGGTTGAGAGTCATGAGTCATTCAAAATCCGAGTTCTCTGTGAAGAGCCAGAGCACCATGTTCTGCCCAAAACGTGACCAATCCAAGCGTGAGCTGTGACAGCACTGCTGGCTCCCAGGAATTCCTCATGGGATACAGCTAACAAACAATTAACAAAACAGTTACCATGAAATCAAATAGAATATATTAATTTTGGCATATGTACATGACTTTTATATTAGAAATAGCAGGACCAGTACTAAAGGAAGAGATACAGTCACTGGAAGTTTCAGAACTCAGTTCTTCTGAGTGTGTTAACTAAATTGTACATATTAACCACACCTTCCCCATCCCTTCCTCTCCCATGCATTATGACATATGACATAGAGAACTGTCCATAAAATGCATAACAAAAAGGACTTGATACTAAAAGTCTGAGCCCTGCCTGTTCCTACATAAAAGTACCCGTGTCTTGAGCAAAAGCTGGATAAACAGGACTTTTGAAGCTATGAGGAGAGAATGTGCTAAATGTACTCACAGGATAATTAATGTTGTTGCTATTATCTGTATTTTTGTTTTATCTATTTTTTTTAATTCTCTGTTACTCTGACAACTGAGTGATGGCCATGTATACTTAAAACTCATTGATTAATAAGAAAAGTTCATTTCACAAAAGATCTAAAGACCTAAACATATACCTTTGTGCAAATGAGAAAGCTGTCATTATGGTACCATTGAAATAAAAAAAAAGAGATACTAATACTGGATGAAATGGATGTGAAGGTATTGTTAAGTCATAGGTTTCATGAAAAGGTAATGAATAAAAAAAAAAAGAAAGAACTTGAGAAGCCATCAAGGTAATAGAAAATCTCTCAAAGGAGAGTTGATGGGAACGGAAGGAGTTTTATATAAGGGATTTATGTACATAATTCTGTATATTGATTCTGAACTGTATGAGACCTTGAGCAGAAGAGGATCTGTGGAAGATCAATGACTTGCATTGAAGTGAGAAACTTATTTCATGTCAGTGATCCCCTCTGGTCTGCAACTCTGTATCACAGTGGAACTATTGGAGTCCACAGCTCACATTTTTCCTGGTAGCATTCCTAGAGAGCACAAGCATTATGAACCTCTTTAGGAGTTAACACAACTCTGTCGACTGACATAGAATTTATGACCATGGTTCACCTCAGATTTGGGCTCATTTCATCCCTAGTGCTTTTCCTCTACTTCTCTACGATGCTACTGTGTTGACCAGAGTATGAAAGAGAATAGTTAATCACAATTTTCCTGAGGCATTAATAAGTTGGAGATTTCTCTGAGCAGTTACTAATTCCCAGCATCCAGGTTTCATATTCCTGTAAAGGTTTGAAAAGGTTCTGTGGCACATTTTGATTATGAAATGAAAGCTGTGTTCCTGTACTACACACAATGAGACACATGGATATTCTTCTAAAAGCACAGAATACAGAGAAGCTGAGACTGTTGCTTCTGAGGATTAGCATTATGTGATGGCTTCCACTTGGATAAAATATGTATCTATATCTGCACTCATGCTTGTTTATTTGCAGATATAGTGAAAACTGGTTTAGCACTGTAGCATATCAATGAAAACTCTTTGCTCCTGCAAGCTGGAACTAGTAAGACACACCTTGAGTGGCATGAGAGACTAGTAGGCGAGCAACATGCCTTTCACACATTAATATGCATGGCATACGTTTGCATTATGTTGAG